GTGTCTCTCCTCTCTCCCACTCTCTCTCACTCTCTCTCCTACTCTCTCTCCCTCTCTCTCTCGCTCTCTATACCCTTCTTCACACCCCTCTCTCTGTCTCTCCTTCTCTTTCTCACTCTCTCTCTCTCACTCTCTCTCTCGCTCTCTCTACCCTCCTCCCTCTCCCCCATCCACAAAACAACACAATGCCTTTCGTGTACTCACTCCGGGTTGTCACACTCCCTCTCGCTGGCTGAGACGCCACCCTCACACGTGCGGGAGCAGGCCCCCCACCCTTGCCACTGGCCCCAGTTCCCGTGCACGGTCTTTGGCTCGTACTTGGGGTTACGGCACTCTCCACGGAAACACCACTGGGGAAGAAATCACGATAGGAAAAACATAATTGAAGTGTGGTTTTCCAAAAATCAGTACCGTAAGTCAAGTTTGACAAGCGTCTGATTTCATCACGATGCCTCACACATTTATAATATAAACATGACCCATTTATGTATTATTATGAGCACATGAGTATAATTTATAATGATTTAGGTTTTAACAATGCTAGAGTCCGGGATACGGAGCTTTCGGCTGTTAGCAGTGGATATGGCTGTTTCAGACAATGTATGTGTGTGGCATCGTGGTGAAACCATGCGCTTGTCAAAATTGACTTACTGAGTTTAGGAAAACCGCTCTTCAATTGTTATTATGGGTTGTCTAGCCGATATTAGTCTATGTTTTTGGTAATTTTAGTTATAAATGTGTTTGTGGATGGTTGACGGGTGCTCTGGTGTGGTTTGCTTCTTCTTTTCTTTGAACTATCTTTCGTCTTTATCGCAACTTCTTTTTTGTGTATCATCATCAGAGCTTCCCTTCATCATAATGAAGCCAGAGAGATTTAAGGAAACAGACGACCAACAACATACAGAGGAGTCTTTCCAATGATCAAAAGGGAAATCAGAGACCCACCATGTAGAGCTAAGTACCAGCACCTGGAAGATGTGTATTCTGGGTACTCCTATAAGCGGGAACAAAAATATATCACATGTCGCTGGG